GGCCTACAATTTGCCACATACCTTATTTTTTCTATCTTTTTAATTTTTTTTTTTGTTTTTGTTATTCACCAAAACGACCATTTGTTCATTTGAAATAGTAGGTTCATTTTGAATAATATTTTGAATAAATAATATTATTTTAGTGGCATTTTTGAAAAATGATATTTTTTAAAATTCTGTTAATAATATGATAATGTATAATAAGATATCAAATTTTTTTGAAAAGACGATCTCGGCCAATCGCAAGCGGCGATTTCTCCCTTCGAGCTCAACTTTCCGATCTGGTCTTCCGGTGGCCGGCGACTCCTTTAGCGCCGGTCACGAATCCCTTGCTAGTTTTTTGTTGTTGTTTAGTCTTCCTTTGTAGCTTCTTTGGGTCTTGAATCTCATATCTGGTTTTATGGTTTGGTTGATGGGTTCTGTTGGTGGCTTTCGACTTGCCGCCACTAGGTGTTAAGGAGATGGAACCTCTGCGTGGTTAGATTGAGCTACTGTTGTGTGTTGTTGTTAGAGTTGGTTCTCTCCTTGGCTTGGTTGGGGTAACTCGAGGCTATTTTGTTGTGGCAGGCCTTAGGCCTCTGGTTTGCACAACCGTGTCCTGTCACCTTCTCCCATGGATTAGATTTTAGCCTCGGTCTGAGTTTTTTTGCCTTGCTCTTTGGCTTCCGTTTGGCTTTCGGTCACCGGAGTGTTTAGCTTCTTTTCGTGATGGAGACTTTGTTCTTGGACTGGGTTCATGGAATTGTCCTTTTCGTTTGGATCCTATGTTCGATGCGGTTTTCATTCTTTGTGTTTGTGAAGGTCTGCTMTGGTTGCTGTTTGTAAATTTGGGTCGAGTCTTGTTGGCTATGTTTTGCTGGTGTGAGTTTGGGTTCTTGTGGGCGAGGAGATGTGCTTGTTGTTGGTCCCAGRCGTTTGTTGGTGGTCTATGCTTTTGGATCAGAGGCTGGTTTGGTGTGTTTTGACTCGGTGGTCAGGTTATTAGTGTCTTGGCATCGCTGTCTCCTCTGTTTCCCGGTGTCTTTAGAGTGACTACTCGGCGTTGGTTCTCTGCTTTGTTGCCTTTATCTCCCTGCGTTCTTATCCGCCTCTTCTGTCTGCTGGTTAAGTTAGTCCTAGAGCCGCGTTTTGGTTCTCYTTCTCTGRGTGTGCCTCAARGTTTAGGTTYTGTTCTTYCTTATGWTRTTTGGCTCAGTTKTGGCWTCACYTTCCTATGGGTAGTGTGTGGGTGTGCTATTGGTTTCGTGGTTTGAACTTAGGGTTACTTCTTTGCTTTTCTTCTCAATCAATTACCGTTTCTCATTTGTATTTAGTTTTTTATGTCTTCTAAGGGCAAAGATTTGTCTCTATGAAAATCTTGTTTTATTAGGCTTTGTTTATGATGTTGTAATGGGTCCATCGTGTATCATATTCGGATCCTTTTCTACCATTATATATATATTTCAGATGATAAAAAAAAGGTATAATAAGATAGAAAAAATTATGATAGTTGATATTCAAACTTACATGAAAAATCATTTCATTTTGAAATTTGAACCTGAAAATAAAATCCAAAAGTGTCGTAACAAATGTCAAATATAATCCAAACGGTGGTATTTTTAAAAGAAAAAAAAATTAAAAAATGAGTCACACTTGAAATATAATATATAAATGGCCTCACTCCCATCTTTTTTTTTTTTTTGGGTCGAAAGCCTCACTCCCATCAATCGT